TTAAGCAGAAGTTTCCAGTAGATTGGAGTTGAGCCAATAATTTACACAAAAACCAAAAAGCACAGGGGAAGCAGGTTCTATCGCCTTTCTGGCTACAGTTGAAAAGGTACTCAAATAATCATCTAAAACGAACTAACTGGAAGCAAGTAGCTAGATCGTACAAGAACGACACTTTAATTACAAACACTTCCTGTGTATTGCTATCGAAAGATTAAGTGATCCGAAAGCACTGCCGTCCACAAGTCTTTCACTACAGGTTTTCCATATGAAAGGTGCTTTAAAATTCCAGCTTGGAAATTTTTGGGAGAATTAGTGAAAAGAGCGAGCAACGTACCGCTTTTAGCTCAACTTCCTCGGGTGTCCTCATTGCCAAAAGCAGCATCGCCTGTCCCAGTTTGGTCGCCTGGTAGTCGTCGGGTTTTAGACCACCGGCAAGGTACTTGCGGGCATGTCTGTAAATAAGAAATATTAAATCAAGACAGACTGCCAGATGCCACAACCTGAGGGGGGCCTCGTGGCACAACTACACTAAGCTTGCTCCAGGTGATAAATCCCATAGACGAGCAAAAAGGGGAGCTGAGTTCGAACGGAGAATGAAAATTGTGCAGCCAAAATTTATGGCTATGATAAATGTTTAAAGATACAAAGATGCCCCGTGTGCTCAAACATAAGCGTACAGAGATGTGTGCAAAATGGCTCGGGAATTGCCATACAATTTCGCTAACATCAGGGTATGTGCGCGACTAAGGGAAGTGAACGCTTGATCGTCAGAGGCATCTTGTCTAAAGACCGGGGATGTTCTTATTGTAGGGTATTAAAACGCCAACTTTATAGAAATACACAGCTGAATACAAAATAAGACTCTAGCATAAGTTAAAGCCCAGGTTTCCAACCGAATGCTGATTTCACAACACTTCATCATTTGGCTAATAAAACTCGACTAGGGAAAGGTCTCGATGAGAAAAATCACAGTCGCCGATTCCAAATACGCTTATTTCTTCTATATTGATGAAATGAAAGCAATAATTGGCAGCCGAAGATAGGCAAAAGATGGACACAGTATATGGCAAGATTAAATTTGATCAGTAGAAATCCTTCTAAAACATCATGTATGGTATAGTTATTAGCATTAAAAACTACCACCGAAATCGACAGAAGTGTGGTCTGCTTTTGACCTTAAGACTAAATGCTCCAAGGCCGCAAAGAGTCAGAGATTTTATTGTGGACCAAACAGAAATAAGGGGGTTTTAAAGGATAAGGTTGTTTGAGTGGCACTGCAAGGGCGGAAGTTAAGTTACTCCTAAAACAAATATATGACTCACTGGATAGCTTCCAACCTTTTCCCTGCTTTGACCAGTAAGTACAGTTCAAAGACTCGGATGTCGAACTCGAAGAAACACTAAAAAGGGAAAGCGATAGAGAGTAAAACCGGCTAAGTACAAACAGAGGCACAGAACAATTAGCTGAAGTTTAAAATTCTCGTAGGTAAATGATGATTAAGTTAATAGCAGGCGAGGGAAATCCAAGGCAGGTTAGATCAAAAAACGTACCTCCGACTTTTTCAGCTTATAGTTGGCCTCTTGAATCCACTGATGAGCAGGACCCGTGTCACCTCGAAGAAGAGCCTCACTGATAACAATGGCCTCCTCGTATATGTCAGTTAGACAAAGGCAACCGGCCGACGACGACTTGGCTAAACTCAAAGCAGACCTGTAGTGCCCAAGACAGAACAGGTGATCGGCCAGAAGTCGATGAAAGCGCGCAATGAATACACGTTGCTCCGGAGGCGTAA